TCAGTGTTGGTGCTCCCAGGCTCAGTGCTCTCAGTGTTGGTGCTCCCAGGCTCAGTGCTCTCAGTGTTGGTGCTCCCAGGCTCAGTGCTCTCAGTTTGTGTGCTCCCAGGCTACGTGCTCTCTGTGTTGGTGCTCCCAGGCTCCGTGCTCTCAATGTTAGTGCTCCCAGGCTCGGTGCTCTCAGTGTTGGTGCTCCCAGGCTCGGTGCTCTCAGTGTTGTGCTCCCAGGCTCGGTGCTCTCAGTGTTGTGCTCCCAGGCTCGGTGCTCTCAGTGTTGGTGCTCCCAGGCATGGTGCTCTCAGTGTTGGTGCTCCCAGGCTCGGTGCTCTCAGTGGTGCTCTCAGTGTTGGTGCTCCCAGGCTCGATGCTCTCAGTGGTGCTCTCAGTGTTGGTGCTCCCAGGCTCGGTGCTCTCAGTGTTGGTGCTCACAGGCTCGGTGTTCTCAGGCTTGGGCTGGACAGCCTTTTGCAGGTCCCTGGTAGCCATAGGTCACCTGCCGCTGCTCCTGAGTTTACCTCGACCTCGCCTATGTCCTCCTCTCACAATCCCTCAGTCTGAGGCCCCTACAGAGCCTGGGTTTAGGGAGCTGCCTATCTCTTTCCACCTTGGTAGCTCCTTGGTTGGGGCCAGCACAGCCCTGAGACCACAGACTCAGAGGCCACTGGTCACCCCATCTTGGGGCTGAGTGTTGTCCGCTTCCACATATGGAAGCATCAGGCCCGCAAGAGGTCTGAAAACCCCATTCCCTTAGAGGCAGGAGTGGAGAGTGGGAAGCTGGATGCTGACTTCACAGGCAGATGAGCGAGACCAGGCCACATGGCACCAGGGGCATGATCTTACTGGGTCTCTGGTGCTTGGGTACCCCCAGACCACTAGCAAGTGGCTGTTTTTCCCACTGGGCGTGAGTGGATTCCCTTTTCACACAAGGCATTTCCTTCCTGGGTCAGTAGTGTGTCCCTGACCTCCATCCCCAGGACCTTATGTGTGTTGCGTGTGTTTAGAAAACATTTCCAGGCCTGACTTTCCTCTTTTGCAAGTGGGGTAAATACTTCCCACCTGCAGGGTACTGTTGCAGGGCAGAATCAGCCATAGGCTTGGCCCATGCCCCGGTTACTGTAGATGAGCTCAGTGGTTGGTGAGGCCAGGCCCTGGTGAGGAGCTAGTCACATGTTGGCATGCACACAAGCACATGCGTGTGTGTATGGGGGTGCACAGACATGCTCACGGGAGCTGTTCTGACCAGAAGCCCTTGTTCTGACACCCGTGCCCAGGTTCCACGCCTGTGTGCTCCAGCTGCCATTCAGCCAGCAAGTCCGGAAAAACCCTGCATTTTTCCTGCGGATCATCTCTGACACAGCCTCTTGCTGCTACTCCATCCTGAAAGCCAAGAACGCAGGTAGGGCAGGGGCCAGGCGTGGCCACTGGACCCCACACAGTGCTCACAGAGCTGAGGGTCAGAGAGGGCCACCAGCGCCCAGGATGCTGGGAACACACTCTGTCAGCCCTGGGCAGGAGCAGGTCCCCTTCCTCGTGCTCAGTGTCAGGAGCCTTAGGGGATCAGGCTTAGCAAATTCTCACCCCACATCCAGAAGCAACTTGACTCATGAACTGATGGCGGAAGCCTGGTCTCAGTACTCTCACTGTGCTGTGGGTGGACTCTCCCGGGAGACAGAAGGGCAGCCAGAGCTGCTGACTGTCCCCCCGCCCAATGACCATGGAGCTGTGAGGGGTACAGGGTGGGGCCTCCTCCTGTGTGTCCTGGAGGGAATCGTGCCTCCTCACTGTGGCGCTTTGTGGCCTCCACACAAACCCAGGCCCAGGGCTCAGGGGGTCTCCCCGCCATCTCAGGAGTGAGAAGCCACCAGTGGCCTCAGCAAAGCCTCTGCTGTGGGCCACCGTCCTCTGGCTCAAGGTGTCTCATCCATGTGATGGATCTTTTTGGTCAGTCTGTGTTTCAAGCCCTGTGGCAGCTCCAGGGCACTGAGTGTGTTGGACTTTACTTTTTCTTTACTTACTCCCATTAGCAGGAGTTTTTCCTGGGAAACTATAGGAAACATCTCAGTCACCAGAGTCTCAACGATGCTCACGTCAAGGCTGGGCCAGAGACGCAGTCGTCTCCTGTTCCTGGGCCAGGCTGTCAGGGACATCAGCAGCACCAAGGCATCCCCTAGAGGAGAGCTTGGCAGGGGCCAGGCAGGGTCCTCAGCCTCCATTTGTTCCCTGCAGGGATGTCACTGGGGGCCAAGGGCGCCTCTGGCCTGCTTCCCTCCGAGGCTGTGCAGTGGCTCTGCCAACAAGCCTTCCTGCGCAAACTGGCTCGTCACCGCATCACCTATAAGTGTCTCCTGGGGGCTCTCAGGACAGGTAAGGGGGGCAGAGACGCACCTGTGTAAGCAGCAGAGGCTGCTGCTGAGGTCCGACACTGCCACATGTGGGCGCCAGGAGCCCACACGGGCAGCCCCAAGGTGACTGGTGCAGGTGTCTCTAGGCCACTGCCCCTGCTTCTCACCTTGGCTGCAGCCCCTGGGAGGACCCTCACTTCCTGACTCCTGCCTTACATCTCGGGGTACCTCTCCATCAAACTCTCTGATCCTTGACCTGCACACCCTCGGGCATCTGTCCTGCAACAGCACAGGATCCTCAGCTCCTCATGTCTGTCTGCAGTCTCCCACACGTTCCCCCCGCTGCTTCCGGACATGGCGGGGGGCGGGGGGAGGTCTGTGCTCCTTTGTGGGTCTCCTCTGCCTGGGCCACATGGCGCACACACCCACCTGCTACCTGGCCTCCCCAGAGTCTGACCTTGCTCATCTCCTCCAGCCCAGGAGCAAGTGCAGTGGAAACTCCCTGAGGCCACTCTGGCCACCCTGGAAGCTACAGCTGACCCAGCCCTGACCATGGACTTCACAACCATCTTGGACTGACAGCCCCACCCCACACTGGCACGAGAGGACAGCGCCAGCAGCTGCCACTCCCGGCTCTGTGCCCAGGGCGGGGCTGCTCACACCCCAGAGGGCACCCTGGGAGGTTCTGACCACTCTCCTCCACCGAGGACTGTGCTGTGAAAGGGAGGGGGGCTTGTGCTGAGGTCCTCCTTCCCATGAGGACCCAGCCCCTCCCTGCTGTCCTTGGGAACAGCCTAACAGCTGAGACAGAGCAGTGGGGGTTGGGGTTCGTGTTTCAGCCTTTGTTGGCCAGGAGGGGCAGACGAGGACCTTGGCTCTGAGCACCTTGGCTCTGAGCACGGGGCCTGCCCCCAGGAGGGGGTCCACCTGAGCCGCAGTGTCAAAACCTGTCGCCCTCACCCTCAGGTGGTCTTGGGAAACTTTCCTGCCTTTGCACCAGCCATGCTGCCAGGACTGGTGCCGTGCAGGGCATAGCTCCTTCCTGTGGCCACACTCACCCAGAAGCAGCACCCACCCCCACCTGCCACCACTCAAGCTGTGCCCAAAGTCCACTCCTAATGGAAATTTCCCTGAAAGCAGAGGCCATGTCCACACCAGCCCCTGGATACGCCCTGCCCTGTGGCCACTCATATCCCTTCTTTTTCCAGTTGGGTGAACCCAGTCACCCCAGCGGCCGCTGCTGCAGCACTGCCAGCCCCTGGCCTGGGCTCAGCTGGTCCCAGCACCCGCACCTCACTGGGGACCCCAACACATATCTCTGTCCTCCCATAACCCCCCATCAGACCTGCTGGTGTCCCCCCATCTCCTTCAGCACTGCTCCACGACCTAAGTGAAGACAATGATCAGGACCCTAGAGGCTCTGGGGCTGTGGAGGTAACCTGGCTCCCCTGCTCAGTGGGATCCTGTACTGGCAGAGGCTCTGGGTGAGCCCAGGGACCTGCAGCCCAGGGAAGGGTGTGGCACCTCCGGGTCCTTCAGTCTCAGACAGGGCCGCCTGTTAGAGCCCTAAGTGCACCAAAAGCATCTTCATGCATTTATGGAATTGGGTGTGTGAGTGAGGTGCAGCCTGGCTGGGATCCAGGGTGTTTTCCAGTGATGTGAGGCACTGGGGAGGTGGGCAGGGGCCCTGAAGGCAGTGAGTCCAGGACTGGAAACAAAGGGCCAGGGCCAACAGGTGCTTATCACTACAGACCCGGCAGGCTGGGGCAAAACCAACCTTTACAAAATCTGGGATTCCTCCTATAAGCACTCAGTCCAGGTCAGAAGTCAAGTTTCTCTGGCAGCTACTTTGAGTGGACTACATGATTTTGATCTTTATGGAGAGTTCTGACTGGTGGGGCAGCAGAGGGCCATGGAAACAACAGGGCTTCTGGGGCAACAAGCCCACCACCCAGTTTGTTCTGTCCTGCCCTCCGGACCATGGTGGTCACCAGGCATACCATAGAGCTGGACAAACATCCTTCAACAGACAGAGCCAGAAGGACCAGAAACAGGAGGGGTGGCCCATAATTTATGGGCTTGGGCAGTATGAAGCCTGACTGAGCCAACCACTGAGACACATAAGTGCACAATTCTGGGGACGCTGAACATGTCCTTGAGTGGCTCAGTTGTGGCCTGGGTCCCAGGAGTGTGCTAGGGATGGGACTCACTGCCCCCGCAGCCCATGTACACCCTGTGCCTGGGTAGGGGTATCAATTTCTTTGCTGTTGCTATCCAAGGGACTGAGGCTGCTAGGTTTATGGCAGGCCTAAGTCCATAGGTGCTAAGGCAGCTGTGAGGAGGGGCCTGCTGTGGACATTGGGTAAAGGACACTCGGCCAAAGGCTAGGGCAGGGCGCCAAGGAGCAGCATACGCTGAGCTTGCTGCCTGGTGCAGTTGGACCCGCCCCTGGCCTGGGCCTACTGTCTACAAGCCCCAGAGTCCTGTGTCTCCGGTGTGTCTTGTGGCAGTTTTATTGAATATCACTTGTATTTTTACTGAAGTATTGAGCCCTTGAAAAAGGTATATGCTTTGATGTGGCCTAACTCACAAACTCTCCAAAACCACTATGCAGACTCAAATCTCAAGGAAAAACGAAAATAATAAAATCTTTAAAGAAAAGAAAAAGTCTGATTCTCTGGGCTTCCCTAGCCCTAAATCTCACCTCCTTCACTGTGTGTTTCACAAATGTTTGTGGGGCAGGTAGAGTCCCAAATAGAAAAGGAGGGGAAAGAAAGCAAAATTGGGGTGGGAGTGGAGCATCCAGGGCTCCCCTGAAAAGGAACAACCTCCCTCAGCCCTGGGTTCCCCTCCCGCACCCATCAGCACCCTCAGCGCTGACTTGGCACTGGCCATCTGGATGCTCACCTGAAAGGGTGCTGGAGGCCTGGCAGCGTCCTACACCTTGGTGGGTGTCAGAACCCTCTGGCACATGTGATAGGCAGAAGAATGACCCTCCACAAGCATGCCCATGTGCTAGTCCCCATAAACATGTTGCTTGAGGTGGGCAAGAAACAATGAGGGTGTCAATGGATTCGAGGGTCCCAGGCAGCTGACCTAAGAATATAGAGGTCACCCTGGATATCTGGGTAGGCCTGGTGATTAAACATAAGGACCCTAAAAGTGGGAGAGGGGGGCAGAAGACAGTCAACTGACCACTGCTGGCCTGAGGTGGAGGTAGGGCCCCCAGCCGAGGAATGAGGTGGCTGCTCCAACCTGGAGAAGCAGCTGATCCTCCCCTCGAGTGTCCTGAGGGTGCACAGCCCTGCCATTGCCTGGATTTCAACCCAGACCAGGGAGAAACACGCAAACTTCCAACCTCCAGAACCGTGAGATGCTACATTTGTGTGTGGCAGTAGGTGCTTGGGATAAGACTTCAACCCCCACCTGGAGCTGGTGCCCAGAGCTGCAGGGTTCTCCCCTTCCTGTTTGCCAGTCGCCTGGGGGTCCTGATGAAATGTGGGTGCTGATGCAGGGGTGGGGGCGGCAGGCCAGTGTAGGGTCCTCAGGCTGAGGCAGGTATATACCCCTTCAATTCAACTCCCTGTGCCAAGCCTGGCATCAGGTGATCCCATGAGGGATCCAGAGGAGGGTCTGACACATATCCACAATGCCCTCCAGACAGGATGTCCGTGGTCTTCCCTGATACAGCTCAGGAGAGCATCATGGTGGGGTTGGTCCTGTCTTCTTAGCCTCACACAAGCGGGAGCAGAGCCTTGATGAGGGGGTGACTCGCTTTTTCTCTTTGGATGTAACACAAAGCCCTTGCTCTGCCATCTGTAGCTATATGTTCCCTTCCCCAACTTGGGTTGGAGGCTCATGCTCAGCTTGGGTCCCAGGCCCATGCATGGAGGGGAGGCTGCTCCCCCATGGCTCCCACTCTCCCCCTGTGCCATCCTTCCTCATATCTCCACCTCTGCTCTTCCTGCCTCCTTCCCTGAGTGTAGATGCCCATGCCTCTGTGGCTGAGCTGAGCCAGGCTTCCTAGCTGCCCCAGGCTCAGTGAGCAGCTGATACGGCCTTGGGCTCAGCCTCCACCCACCATCACTGTGGCTGCACATGTGTGAGTGGAGAGGCTCACCTGTCTCTGAGCTGATTACCATGAGCTCTCTCCACCTTGAGGGTCAGCTCCCCACATGCAGTCCAAGCCTCAGTCTGAGATGGAACAGGGCCAGAGGGAAGGGCCTCGTGGGGGCTGTGTCCATCTCTAGGATGGGCTGGCCTTGTTTGTGCCTGGCTTCATCTCCATGTGAACACTGCTGCCCCTGAAATGGGGGGCGGGGCTGCCAGTCCTCTCTGCCAGCCTCTCCGGTTGGGCAGTAGAGCATTTTGTTCCTATCCCAAAGCCAGGCAGTCTGAGGGACCACTCCTAGGGGGTTTTCCCAAGGGCTGGGGACAAACAGAAGGTGACTGTGTGGGAGGTGGTGATCACATAGCTTGGGCCCCACTGGCTCTGCTCTTGTAGCCTAGCCCTAGACCACCCCTCCCTGGACGTTGCTCCAGTAACTTCCCCCAGCCCTGAGCAATCTCAGCATGCCTGGTGAGGACAGGTGTGCCTTTGCCTCCATTGGGCCACCCATCTGTGCACCCACCACCCACCTGCTGGGCCACATCCTGCACATCCTCCCTTCTTCCTTTAGTGCCATAGCTGCATCAGCACACAGGCGGAGTGGAGTCACGCCTTCCTCTACTGGTAGCTGAGCAGGACCCCAAAACTCCAGGGCAGGAGTATAGATGCAGCTGTGTTCAGCCCCTCCTGTACACGAGGAGCCAGGCAGAGCCCCCATCCTGTTCACAATATCCCACACCAAAAAGTTCAATATGGGCTCGGCACCTGTGCTCAGTGAGTAAGGTAGCGGCCACATACACCAAGGCTGGTGGGTTCAAGCCCAGCCCAGGCCTGCTAGACAACAATGACAACTGCAACCAAAAAATGCCCAGCCATTAAGGCGGGTGCCTGTAGTCCCAGCTATTGGGGAGGCTGAGGCAAGAGAATCACTTAAGCCCAAGTGTTTGAGGTTGCTGTGAACTGTGATGCCTCAGCACTCTATGTCTGTGTCAAGGGCAACATAGTGAGACTCTGTCTCAAAAAAAAAAAATTTCTGATCCGGACAGAAAGAAGCAGGTTCCATCCACCCAGTACCCAGTTGTTTCTGAACTGTTTTAAAGGACGACGCGAGCCTAGATCCTGGGAGACGCTTGTCCACATCCCTGCTCTCTGGTAGCCCCCACTCTTCTTGCTCAGGGCCAATGCAGGACCCATAGTCCCTGTGGTAAGTTTGGGGGGCATCTGAGAGCTGCTTGGAGGCAGCTGCCCTTGTCTGTGTCTACTCTGGAATAGGACATCATACCGCCACACCTGGGAGCTGGACATACCACCTATTTCTTTGACCCCACCTGGAGGCTTTCCTTTGGGGAGCTACCCTGCCATCCTCCTAACTCCCAAGTTCAGCCAGTCCTGCAATTTGATGTCTAGACTCTGGAGAGGGAAGCATCTCACCTGAATCATGAGCATCCAGCAGCAGACACAGCTTAGCAGTGGAGAGAGTTCTGTGGGTCCTGTGGGCTCCTGGATTCAGCAGGGTCTGAGGCCCACCCAAGGACTAAGCAACATCTGAGAGCCATGGGTGCCATTTGGTTTCTTTGTTTTGTGTTGATTACAATGGGGAAAGGGCTGGCTGGCAGGGATAAGGCATGAGGTTGCAGTGAAGCTCTGAGCCCTGGGTATCATGCTGGCTCTGACATCTAAGGGACTCCCTGTGTGACATGCTCTTCAGGTCCTTCCTGCCTTGTGACAGGTGTGGGAAGCATCACAGTGGCAGGATGGAGGGACATGCTGCAGGGCCAACCTACATGGGCTGAGGATGCACTTTGCAGGGAAGTGGGCACTCAGGAGTTAATTCCATGTTTAACAATCAGTTCTCTGGGGAAATGGGCTTTTTTTTACTCTGGGGTTTGGGCAAGGATGGCTTCCGAAGTGTAGGCATAAACAGTGAAGGGGCTACTTGTAACTGGGTAGGAGCCCTGGGCAGTTGCTGCAGTTTTCAGTACCATGGACAGTGGTGTCCAGCCAGGGGCTTATCTTAAACATCAAGAGCAGCTGGGATCGTCCCTGCTGCGCCTAGCAAGAGGCTGAGGCCTCCACCGGCTCCTGTGTTCAGCATTCCCAGCTCTTTGGACCTGACCCCTGGTGCTGTAGGAGGAAGGAGGAGGGAAACAGGTGGGGTGAGCAAGGGGAGAGGAGCTGGGGCTGCGGGGCTTCTTCCTTCCAGGGCTCCAAAGTGGGCAACTGTGGCTGAGATCAGGTGGGGGACTGGGCATGGACCAAAGCTGTGGGTGATTCGGACTGTAAGTGAATGAATGAGTGGGTGACCCCCAGATATCAGCCTATTTTTACCTTCCTAACAAACACAGATTTGACACTCTGGGAAAAGAAAAATGGCAAAATGCTGTGTTTCCTGGAAATAATGTCAGGAAGATTCAGCCAGCCCCTGCTGATTTCCTCTGCTGCAGCTCCAGCCAGACACAGAATCCACCAAACCCCACTTCCTGGGAGCATCTGTCCTGGGGTCTCAGCCAAGATAGACCTGGGGCCTTGCCTCCTGTGAACCACTGTGGGGGTGGGGGTGACTTCCAGCCCCCAGGACTCAGAACTGGGGTGCAGCTGCCCTCCTGAGCTATCACGGACACGCTGCTCTCCCCCCCACTCCCTCCCCCAGAGCAGCCGGGGCCAGGGGAGATGACTACAGACACCTGTGTTGATCTTGCACCTGTGCAGATAGCCTCCCCACCCCCCACAGCAGACACCTTCAATCCTTGTACTGAGACTCTCAGACCACCCACTCAGCACATGAGGAGCAGGACCTGGGAGCAGCCAAAGCCTGGGAACTGCCTAAGGGTGCGAACGTGGTCTTCAGGGAAGCAACTGGAGGCTCACTGGGCAATCGCATGCATGTGTATTGAGGCACAGCTGGTCCCGCCCTCATCAGGTCCCGCCCTCATCAGGCCCCGCCCCGCAGCCCCCTTGGGCCCCACTGAGTCAGCACTTGTCCTTGTCCATGTCCATGTAGGTCTTGGTGTCGGTGTCTGAGTCTGGTCGTGCATCCCTCAGCTTCCACATCCGTCTGCGCCGGGCGAGCAGCTGGACCAGTGCCACCACGGGGATCCACAGCATGGGCAGGAGGGTCAGCAGCATGCCGGTGGCCAGCACCCAGTCCGGGTAGGGCCTCTCCTGTCGCGAGGGGAACTGCCCCTGCCAGAGGGAACGAGAGCAGTCAGCTGACGAGAGCAGTTGTCAGCTGGTCGGGGCAGGGACAGCCATACCACAGGCTCCTGAAGCAGGAGTCTGACCCTCAGCAACCACAAACCTAGGCGGCCTAGAGGCCATGTCCCTTCCCACATTGAGGGGCACAAGCTCCTCTGAGCTCCTGGGGACAGAAGAAGCCAGCCAGCACCGGAGGCCAGGGCTATGGCCAAGGCTATGGCCCAGAGTTTGGGGGCTGGGCTCCCTCTCCTGGGCGAGGGAACTGAGAGAGAGAGGCCAGGGTGTGCTGGGACTGGCGGGGGACTAGCAGGGTCCCTCCAGGACCTACATATTGGGGGTTCCAGGCCCTGTAGCTTGGGGGCTTCTGGGCCAGGAGGCTGAGGTAGGCCACAAAGATGGTCATTAAGAGTAGGGGGCTGGCAACCGCCCACGAGGCCCGCCAGTAGAGCCCAGGCCGCTTCCCAGTCATCCACGCGACATCGTCACAGAACCTGAAGGAGACACTGGGCTCAGCCTTCCCAGTACCACTGTGGCCCTGCTCAGGGCTGAGCATCACAGTGACCGCACTAGACCCTAGCACCTCCCAGCCCCCCAGGGCAGGGGCAGCTGTGGGCTGTGACTTTGCCTGCCAGCCTCCCTGCCCAATCCCACCCTCATGGGGTCCCAAAGGAGTGCTTGGTGAGGAAACAGCTCACTGTTTTATCCCATAGACGTAAACCACTCCCACGACCTCCAGGAAGGCCAAGACAATCAGGTTCAGGGAAGCTACGAAATTGTCGAAAATCTCCAGCCAGTAGTTCCCAGACTGCAGTGTGAAACAGATGGCAGAGAGGAAGCAGACCAGGCAGACCAGCCCTGTGGGTGAGCAGGCAGGGTCAGACTCCTGATGTCCCAGCAGGAGACCAATCCCTCCCCCAGCCTCTTCCCTGCACATTGCCCAAAGAGCAGGAAGGACCCATTGAGGATAGAGGTGACCTCAGAGGGATGGGGAAGGCCCTGCCCTCCCCTCTCTGACTCTGGATCCCTATGACAGCCTTGGTGAGGAGCAGCCAGGCCTGGCCTTCCCCTGGGACTCAGCACAGCCCCTTGATCTCGCCATTGAGGAGTGGTGTCTGGACAGCAGGTGGGAGGGGACAGTGAGGACACACCTTCCATGATGACCAAGCTGCCCACTCACCAGTCAGGGCCTCCTTGGGGACCCATCTGGGCATAACTGCCATGTCCACAAGCGGAGTGATAATTGCCTCCATGTTCCCGAACATGGATGACAGGCCCAAGGTGAACAGCATCCCAAAGAACAGCACGGCCCAGCCAGGAGACCCGGGCATGTGGGTGATAGCCTCAGTGAAGACAATGAAGGCCAGACCTGGGCCTGCGGCACTCTGCAACACACAGAGGCAGTCGGCCCTGCCTGTCTGTGAAGACAGGTGCACCTGACGCCTTTATCACCTGCAGCAGGCAGGGGGGCAGGCACCTGAGACACCACCCCAGGACCAGCCTCCTGGCTGTAGTGACGTCCCTGAGTACAGGCATCAACTGGCCCTAAGCTCTGCCAGATCCTGTGTCCCTCACATTGGCTTCCCCATCCCCTGGGCTTTGCGCACCAGCAGAGCCTGTGGGGTGCTGCCAGATGGCTGCCTGCAAGCCCAGCAAACTGAGGCAAGTGACGGGCTGGGGTCTTTGGCTTATGGCCTTTGGGCCAATTGCATTGAGCCATCAGCTCGTGCATCCAGTTCTGAGGTGCTCAGTACCTTATCTAGAAAGTCTTCCAGGTGGCAGGACTTCAAAGAGAGCTGGGCCACCCTCTGTGGCTGGGTGGCATTCAGGTATGTGAGGGCAGCTGGGTACACATCCCTGGAGATGCTCTCCTCTGGGAGATCGAACTCGTTGATGAGGCCAAGGATGTTTCTGTGGCACAGAGGAGGCTGGTGAGCATGGGCTCTTGGCTTGGCCATCAGACACATCCAGAGTAGCCCCTTGATCAGTGCATTGCTGGAGTGCTTGGTTCCTCCTGGCCTCTGTGCATGGATAGCACATGGTGAGGACCCCTGTCTACCCCATGCACATGGGGATGGCTGTTCTCAGTCTCCTGAACCTGGGGACACATGCCTTTGTGAGCACAGTGGGGTGGTGGCAGTGTCCTTGGCTCATAGACTCCTCCTGCATCCAAATGGGGATCAGGGGTTCAAACTTCAGGGGCTCTGAGGGTTTGCTGGGAAAGGCTCAGCCAGCTCATCCCCTCCCCTGATTGTATTCTGGGCTCAAGGTTCCCACACAAGCACCTTGGGGGGCAGCATGCAGGGAGGAGAAAACCCCCTTCAGACCCCTTCATGGCTGCAGCTTCTTCCCGGGACAGTCCCTAGGGAGAGGTCTCCCTCCTTCCATTACTCGCTCCCAGCCTTGAAGGCCTACGGAGTTAGGCCAGGGATGCGTGCAGCGCCCACTCACTCCTCAGAGCCCACATCAGCACAAGCCTGCAGAGTGTGCCCAGGGATGCGTGCAGCGCCCACTCACTCCTCAGAGCCTGCATCACTGTGAGTGCTCAGTGCTTATTTGCAGACATCCCAAGAGTGACAGAAATCTGAGTTGCCCAACATGAAGGTCCCAGCTGAGGGTACAAGGCCAAGCTCCGTGTCCTTTTAGCTCATCCAGTAATCAGGTGTCCTGCGTTGAGCATCATACTTCCACATTTCAGTGCTAGCGATCTCCCTGGTTAAACTGCTCCCCCAGCACAGTTCTGGGTGCTGTCTGCTGCTCCTAAGTGGGAGAGGCCAGGACATGCCTCACAGGGGAAACACATGTGTCAGGCACAGGGAAAGTGCTGCTGCCATGAATTAATGTCAGTGTGGCAGCAATGTGCATGGTGGCTCACGCCTGCAGTCCCAGAGCTCTGGGAGGCCAAGGCGGGAGGATTGCCTGAGCTCAGGAATTCAAGACGAGCCTGAACAAGAGTGAGACCCATCTCTACAAAAATAGAAAATTAGCAGGTGTCATGCTGGACACCTGTAGTCCCAGCTACTTGGGATACTGAGGCAAAAGGATCACTTGAGCCCGGGAATCTGAGGTTACTGTGAGCTCCAATTGATGCCACAGCACTCCACCCACTGATGATGCCACAATACTCTACCTGAGGCAATCTCTGTCTTAGAAAAACAAAACAAAACAAAAACCAAACAAAAAAACCCAGGAGCAGAGATGTTCAGAGTTCACTAACTCAGGGTTAGCAGAGACATCACAGGGCAGAACCATCATATGTAGTGAGAGTCACTGACTTTGATTCACACAGCCCTTAAGGCCCCAGTTAGGACATAACCACTTGGCTTATGGTTAACAAAGGTGCTCCAACTGGATTCAGTCCAGCTTTTCCCCTTCTACCCCTGCACGGGGGTCCTGCTGTCTGCTCGGCCCTGCAGCCTCTCTAGAACATTCCTCGAGGAGCACCAGGTTCAGGCTGCATTTCAATGGCTGCTCTGGGCTCTCCTTCCTGCCCAGTGCTGCAGTGCGTGTGGTTGGAACGGGGCATCTCAGTTGCAGCCATGGGGACATTCAGGGCTGGGTTGTTCCCTGGGGGGCTGTTCTGGGCACTGCAGGGTGTTGAATAGCATCCCGGGCCCTCACTCACCAGATGCCAGGAGCAGCCCCTCAGTACACCCTGTGCATGTCCCCTGTTGGGGCAGAGTCACCCCCATGTGAGCAGGACATGAAGGGCTGCCCCGGTAGACCCTAAGTGCTGTCAAGGGCTGTGGGTGAGCAGTGGTCAAGGGTCCCGACAGTGCCACCCCATTTGATGGAGTAATTCTGGTTGCAGGCCCTGTAGGCTTGCAAGGGCTGCCTGAGTGACCACAAATAGGGCCTAAAACAGCAGGAATTTATTCTCTCTCAGTTCTGGAGAAATGTGTCTCAGGACTGAGCTCCTTCTGGAGGCTCCTGGTGTCCTCTGGCTGGTGGCTGCATCACTGTGGTCCCTGCTCATCCACAGCTTTCTGCCCCTTGTCTCTCTCCTGTGTCTCATTTCTCCTTAGAAGGGCACTAGCTGTGGGACTTAGGGCCCACCCACTCCACAATGGTCTCATCTGCAAGGAACCTTTTCCAACCAGGTCATGTTCTGAAGTAGTAGGTGGATGTGAAGTTTGGGGGACACCATTTACCCCACTGCCCTGCAGAAATAAAATGTACCCCACACACCCCTCTCCAGTGGCATGGTGGTCCCAGTGCAGTGGCCACCTGTCTGACCGTGCTCTGCAAAGCCCAGCAGCACCTACGCTCACCTGTCCAGGCAGTGCCCATAGTCATTGGTGGCCTTGAATCCCAGGACAGAGAAGACAGTGACGGACGCATACAAGGAGGTCATGCTGTTGACCAGGGCGATGACCACAGCGTCATTCTTACAGTTGTTCCTGGGCACAAACAGCCATTATAGGGCTTTGTGGTTCATAATCCAGGTAAGAGTAGAAGAGGGGGCTTATCCCCTTGTACCTACCCACACCTGGGCCCTTGACACTGCCCCTGTGGTCTCAGGATGGCCTAGACCATTCCCCTGGCCTCCACACAGACCCAGCTCAAGGCTACTGAGTGTGTGAAACTTAGACCTCCCCCAATGGCTTTTGGGTGACAGGGAGCTGAGGGGCAGGGCCTTGCATGCAGATTTTTGGGTCCCAGCTCACTCTTCCTTCCCTAGGGGCTGCCAATGGTCAGAGCTGCCCAGTAGCCATGCTGGCCCACCCACCTCAGCCATCCCCTGCTCGGAGGAGATTAGGTTTGTATCTCTGTTTCCGTGCACTCAGCTTTCTGTTTTATGACCAGTAGGATGGCACTTCCGGGTGCCATTTGTGGACTGGGGCCACATAAAAGTACCTTCTGCTCATGTCTGTGTCAGCATGTGGCCTTGAGTCTGCCCTGGGTGACCAGGGACAATTGCAGAACCCAGATGCCGGCATGAGGTCCACACCAGCCACCCTCGATCCCGTAGAATGACCCTGAGATCAAGACGGGCTCAGTTTCTATCCCCAAGCTTCTCTGGCTGGGCCCCATGGCTGCAAAGGGATCCAGCTGCCCAGCTGCCCACCTTGGGGGGTTGTAACTTGCAAAAGCGATGTGTCCTCCAAAGGCCAGGGACAGAGAGAAGAATATCTGGGTGGCCGCATCCAGCCACACGCGGGGGTTTTGGAGAATTTGCATCTGGAATGAGTCAGGGAGACCTTCTCTCACAGGAGGCAAACCACACCAACTGGTCGCTCTGACCATTCCAAAATGTTCCCAAGGTTTCCTTTGGGACATTCTGGGTGTGTTCTGCACAGACACCAGGAACAAGTTAGGACCTCACAGGAGCCTACAGTTGTAGAGGGACAGCTCTGACACGGCAGACATTGGCTTCACCCCCAGGATGCGGCCAAGTCAGCCCATGACTCTCTTTGGGCCCTGTGAGAACAGAACAAGCTTGGGCATGTTTGCCCTCTCAGACCTGGTGCTTTGGGTGAGGACCAAGGTACTGTGGGGGGTACCTGTGAAAACCCACACACCTGTGGCTCCAGCTGGGTCACCTGGCTGCCCACCCTTACGTAGCATGAACTCTCCCTTGATTCTGAGTCTTATAGATGCTCTAGCAGGGCTGCAGGCTCCTGGGCACGGTATAGGGTCCAGGGCAGGGGTCAGCATGGGCTCCTGGGACAGGGCAACTTGTTGTTAGCTGCTCTCTCCCTGACCATAATGTGGCAAGCTCCACAGTCCACATGTCCCAGGCCAAAGTCCTCCTCTTTATTTGCTCCAGATTTGAGCTTCCTGCAACCCCCCCAGGCCCTCCCCCCCCAGCCCCACAGTGCCCTGAGTTTCTGGCTCTTCGAGGGGAGGGACCGATCCTCAGTCAAGCACATTTGCTGGTGACCCTGGGCTTGCCCATGAGACCTACTTACATTGGGAGTGAACAAGTAGGTCAGTCCATCCATGGCCCCAGGCAAGGTAAGCCCTCTGATGAGAAAGGCCGTCAGGACCAGGTAGGGAAATAAAGCTGTGAAATAAATTGCCTTGGAAAAAAAAAAACAAACGATTAAGCCTTAGAGAGGCAGGCAGGGATGGAGTGCCTCTTGGTCAAAGCCACCATCACTCATTTAGGGCCTGCAAGGGACAAGCTTTAAGGGGTGTGGGGCTCACCATAAACAGTCATATTTGCATCACCTTAATACATTTTTGCCCTGTGGAATCAGCTAAGGTGGACATTGACTATCAGGGGTAAGCAGCCTCCCTTGAGACGGGGCAGGGTCCTGGTGGGGGACCTGAGTTATGTCTCCTGTAGGGCACTCCTGGCAGCTCTGGCCTCCACTCTCCTCTCTCCTATCTACCTTCAGGCTCTTTCAGCCCTTCCTGTGCTGCTAATACTCTCTTTACCACTCTAATGCCCCCAACTGATCATACTTAGTCAGACCCCTCCTCCCATGCAGGGCCAGTCCCCAATTCTCAGTTGGATTTGGGCAAGGGTCTGCACACTAGGTGTCCATGCAAAAAATCTTCAAATGGACACTCTTCCTTCACTGCCCTGCCTCGGTTCTCCCAATTCAGACCAATTTTGCATGGTCTGGGGGACTTTTTAAGGGACTTTTATAATAGGATTATTTGGAGTTTCTGTCTGGCTTGTTGGGCCTACTGCCTGCTCCAGTCCTCAAAAGCATGAAGACCCTCCCAGGGGAGGAATTATAATTTCAGCTCACTAAGAAGATGCACAGGGCACATGGCACTTGGATCCTATGCAAAACCTCCATGCCTATGAAGTGAGGCATTGTCCAGGGTATGTAGACTGAGTGCCATCACCTAAGAAGAATCTATGTGTGCACAGTATTGGACAACTGATGCCCCAGAGAAGAAAAGGTGAGAAGCCTTCTTGTTGGGTGTGCTCCTGAAGGCCTCCAGGCAAGCTGGAGGCTCACTCTAATGGTTCTTTCTGTTGCCCTCAGTGGAATTACATGGGTGGGCATCAATGCAGACTATATTTTTTTGTTGCAACATATCATAAGTAAAATGTATGACAACCATAGTGCAAAGCCAGAAATAAATGTGATGAGGTTCTTAAATTCTACACAAAGTAGCACAAAATCACTTGACTATAGACTATGACAAGTTAAAAAATGTGTGCCAGAGCACCTAAAGCCACCAATAAAATAACAAAACAAAGAGAAGCAATAACCCAATGAAAGAGTTAGAGTGGAATCACCAAAAATACTCTGAAAAAGAGAGAAACAGGAACAAAGAACAGATGGAACATATAGAAAATAAATCTAATGGTAGAGCTAAAGTCAACTATATCAACAATCACATTAAATGTAAATGATCTACATGCCAAATAAAAGGCAGAGATTGTCAGACTGGGTAAAAAAGAAAGACCCAATTATATGCTATCTATAAGAAACACACTTTAAACAGATCTTTTATAAAGATACAAAAAGGTTAAAAGAACAAGAATGAAAAAAGTATGTTCTGTTAACACAGTCAAAAGAAAGCTGGAATACCCATTTTAATATGAAGTCAATTTCAGAACAAGGAGTATCACTAGGAATAAAAAGATTGTTTCATAGTGATAAGGAGATCAATCCTCTAATAAGACATAGTAATTCTAAATGTTTATGCCCCTAATAACAGAGCTTGTAGGCATACAAAGCAAAGGGACAGATGGAGGAGGGTCCTCAAGGCTGGAGGAAGCTGGGAAGGGGTGGATCCCACAGACTCTTACCTTCCCTGTAGTCTCAATGCCTCTGATGATGCACATGTACACAACTGCCCAGCAGGCAGCCAAGCAGATCAGCAGCCGCCACTGGACAGAGCCACTGTCATTAATGTCAGCTGTGATGTTCAGTGTCTGCCGGTACCAGAAGTAGCTCATGGCGCTGCTTCCCTGGCACTCCTCCACGAACCCTGGGATCAGGAGGGCCTATCACAGGCTGGCCTGGGGCCTGAGGCCCCCTTCACTGCAGCTGCTCTGAGCCTGGCTGCACTGGGTTGTTCTCACCACCATCCTTTCAGTCTGAAGTGCCCTTTCTTGCTTCTACTTGGGCCCAAGGCTAAGAAGGAGAAATGGCCCTGGTTGTAAAAATGCAGAATCTGAGAAAACCTCGCTGGGAAGTCTGCTTTGTGGAGGCTTATGAGCCATGCTGGGCCCCAGGTGTCTGGTAGCCTCCTGGACATCAGTGTCACTGGGTAAAGCCAGTGTTTACCTCACCTTCCCTGACCCCCTCACCCAAGACCCCCACAGATAGCACAGAGTCCAATGGGGGGCAGCTGCATGTGTCAAATGTGTGGTTGGCACTTGAAGAGAAAGTCAGACCCCGGCAATATCTACTCCCTTCCTGACAGGGCCACAGCTGACACAGGGAGATGGTGTCTGATGCCAGCAATCACCTAAGACAACTCCTGGGATCCACTGCAGTGGGTCCTCAGACATCTGATGAAGAAATGTGGGGCTCCTTCTGGAGAAGTCTTGGGACCACAAATACCCTGACAGGACCACTGCCCCCAACACAGGGCTGCTTCGTCCACAACATCCTCTGGCCCCAGGGCTCTTGTGAGACCCCAGCCTCAGATCAGAACATCATGGCCTGGCTCTGCAAGGATATTGCCCACTCCACACTCAGCCCATGGGGCGGGAGGAAAAGATGGTCTCAGCCCAGGCAGAGCAGACCTTTCCAGGCACCTTTCTGGGAAAACCTTCCTTCAGTGGAGCTTGGGGTAGACTTGGGAGAGGCATTCCTGGCCCTGCTGTGTGTATCAAGGGACTTAACCCTTCTGAGCCTCTGGCCCTGCTGTTACCTAGGACCAGGGCTGCAGATCACCTGTCCTGGGGCTGTTGGTAGAGCACAGCTGTGGACACCTGGGTGGAACGAACGCCACCTTCAGTGAGAGCCCAAGAGGCTGACCACCAGTGGCCAGTGCCCTCTGCCTCTCCAGGGTGTCTGTCCTATCTGGGCCTGTGGGTGTGTCCAGGTGCCAGACTCATTGTCAAGACCCCCAAGGCCATTCTTGTTTAGAGTGTGGTCAAAAAGACTTTCTGTTTTAGTGGCAGGAAGAGAAAGATTGTCAACGATGCTTCGTGGTGAGGCCAGAGGAGAGGGAGACAACTGTCACCCTCATCTTGAAGCTTTCCCCAGATGCAGTACCTGGCTAAGTCTAAACAGCAGCCCCATACATCATTTTCACTCACCCTCTAGTGATCTAACCACAGAAACAGCTGCAGAGTCTCCCTGCAAACCAGTGGGGCCTCGGTGGACTCTAGATCCAGAGGCCGTGCACAGGCCGGCAGTGAAGACCAAGAGGCCTGGACTGCAGATATGCTTCTGGGAGAATCTGGGAGGCATGTGCCCATATGGACACAGAGCACCAAAGTTCCCCCTGTCGCCTTCAGTCGGCAAGCACCTGCCCACAGCTTGGGCATCTCAACCACAGCAGGACCCGCACCTCACCTGTCCTGTTAAGGTCCAGTGGGCAGGAGCTCCAGGGCAGCGGGTACTGGAAGGAATTGAGGAAGTACCAGAGCACCCACGTGAGGATGGTGTTGTAGTACAGGCTGATCAGGAAGGACACGGTGAGGCAGCCCAGCCCTGTGGGCACAGGCAGTATCAGCCCCCTACCTGCTCCTCCCAGCTCCCTCTGCTCAGAACCAGCCAGAATAAAATAAGAAAATAAAATAAGATAAAGTTTAAAAATAAGTTAATTAAACAATAAAATAAAATTGAATTAATTAAAAAATAAAATAAAAGTGATGAAGGGCCTTGGTGAAGGCCAATGACTCCCTCACACATGACCTGTAATGCCAGTTTCCGTGCCCTTCTGGACCCCAAATCATTCACACAAGGACTCCCCACCAGCCTGTGCCCTCCCCTGGGGCCACCCCCAGCTCTGGCCTACGCCTGGGCCTCCATGGGGTCAGAGGGCAGCGGCTCCTACCTATTCCTCCGAGGTAGGGGGAAATGGCCTTCCACACCTTGATGGAGCCCTGCTGTAGCCGCTGGCCAATGGCAAGCTCGATGTGGAAGAGAGGGAGGCCCTCAAAGACCAGGGCAATGACGTAGGGGATGAGGAAGGCCCCTGTAAGGACATGGGGATCAGTGAGAGCTGAGCTGGGGACAAACAGCCTCACTCTGGCTTTTGTATCACTGCCACATATTCTGTCTCTGACATGGAAACTGTAGGCCCTAGAGAGGCAGGTGGTCCCTTGGCCCTCGGTGGCTTCTGCACAGGACTCCAGTGCCAGCACTTGGGGGATACATAGTCCTTATTGGTGTCATTTGTATAGTAGCAGAAATGCCAGGAAGTGTTGATGAGCAGAGTTGAAATCTGGGGTTCAGCCTTGGAGATGCTTCCTGGGAGGGTGAAGGCAGCCACGGGTGCCCAGCATGGAGTCGTGGCATCTGTAAAGGTGGGGGCACCTGCACCAGCCCCCCTCAATGTCCATCCTGTGTGGTGAGGTCTCATGCCAGTGGCTGGGCTCCCAGCTGCACATCCACTTTTGGAATGCCCCAGCAGTCCGCTGGCCACTCTTAGGCCCTGGTGTGCACACCTGTGTGTAGAGAGAGCTGGGGCTGTGGGCCCCAGGTGTGTGTTCCAGTGCCCAGCAAGGGCAAGGCTCGGGGTGGCCTATGGAGCCTGGACTGGGCAGGGCCCCAAGTGCCCAGGCTGAGGTCAACACTGTGAGGAAGATGAGGGGGAGTCTCGTCACAGCTAATTTGGTGCAGCTGAGTCTCACCTGTTTCAGGGAGAAGAGAAAGGAAATCTTTTTTTTCATTAGGAGGTTGAAGATGTCTAGTCAGGATCTTACTGAAATAGAAGCATTGATTCCGTGGCTGGTTGCCTTTTAAGCCTTCTTAAGACTGCCACGTGGACACAAACTTAGATAATAACCCAAACAGTGTTCCTTGTGGGGGTGGCAGCCAGCCTAGCACAGGGGGCAGCACGGGCACAGGAAGATTGGCGAGAACATGTGTTTCAGCTGAATTTACAGAAAAGCGGGGGTTGATTCAACGTGGCAGGAAGGGAAGGTTCGTGTAACTCCTGTTTATAAACAATTGGGGTAAGTTCAGTGCACCCCCTCACAAGCACCAGCAGCTGGGGACACACAGGGTATCTGCTGACCGTGCCAAAAGTGGCTGTGATCTGCTGCCCAGGTTGGCCACTGTCACATGCAAGTGTGGGAGAACCCACATGTCACCACGCCAAGAAGACAACTGCACAGGCCTTGCGGAGAGAGCCAAACACAGGAAGTTGGGCCGAGGGGCGGCAATTTGGGGCTTCCCAGGCAGTGGCCCGAGTCTGCTATGACTCTCTCTGTGGGGGTGTGGCTCAGGCTGTCCCAGCAGGTTTTCTCCAAACCCTCACAAAAAGTCAGTGTAGTGCCACTGGGACTCTCAGAATCTCTCCTGAAAATTGACCACCTGGCTGTAAAGCTCATTCAGAAAAGTAATAGCCAGTAAAATTTCAAAGAATAAGGCTAAAGTACTTACTCCACTAAGTGTCCAGACTTACTATAAAGCCACAGTCACTAACGCAGTGTGATTTTTTGGTGCAAGAACCTGTAGATCTCAACAGAGTCTCCAGATACCGAACTGGATATGTGATGGAAGCATGTGTGGGAACTGAGTTCAGGCATGTGGCCTGAGTGGCCACTAAGTGGTCACAGGCTCTGCGTGCCTGTGTTTAAAGGGCTAAGTGCACACCAAAGCAGCTCCCGCTCTTGGTCTGTATCTGAACGTTTTGCTGTGTCCGTCCTAATGTCTCTCTACAACTCTTATCTCTGAAGAGAAAATCTATAAATCTCAGTCATTACAAGTAGGAGAGAAAATAATTATTCACCTATTAGTAATGAATTTATGCAAATTAAAAATATCACAGAGGCTCAGTGTGCATAGCACAGTGGTTATGGCGCTGGCCACATGCACCAAGGGTGGCCGGTTCGAACCCACCCTGGGCCCGTTAAACAATGACAATTGCAACAAAAATATAGCCAGGTGTTGTGCCAGGCACCTATAGTCCCAGCTACTTGGGAGACTGAGGCAAGAGAATCACTTCAGCCCAAGAGTTTGAGGTTGCTGTGAGCTGTGAGGCTACGGCACTCTACCAAGGGTGACAGAGTGAGAGTCTGTTTCAAAAATAAATAAATAAATAAAAATACCACACAGTATCCATCTCTCAATTATATCCTATTTTCAAAATAATCTGTGGTTGTTAAAGTGAGGCTGACAGAAAGGTACTCTCACATGTAGGGATAGGATGGCTAGTCGGTGCAGCGCTTGGGGAGACTACGAGGTAAGTAGACAAATATTTCCTGACATTTGACCAAGTGGTGCAGATTTAGGCCGCTGCCTGGGACATGCCTTAAATGCTTGCTGCAGTGAAGGCTTCAACCGAGGAAGTTTTTATGGCTACCTGGGCTCTGGGTGGCCTGCCTCGGCCCCACCACACACATGAACTCCCTCCCCACACACGCCGTCATTTCCACATGTCTCCGCCATGGAGCCTCTGTTGAGATCTCTGGATTCTTGCACCGCAAGTCACACCGCACTAATGACTGTGGTTCTATAATAAGTCTAGACACACAGCGGAGCAAGTCCTTTGTGCTTATTCTTCATATCTGGAAATAGCCTCTAAAGTATCCCCAAATCGAGGAGCCCTTACAAGCCTTGCACATGGGGCGACTGGTGGGCCATTCTCCTCACTCGGCAGCTCCCGAGCTGGGGGCTTACACCAGCCCCTCCATGTGGTGTAGACAATCAGATCCCTGGTGGACTGTGCGGGGTGGGGAGGTCAGACCCAGAGCACCCTGTACATCAGGGATAGTCTGTAAAATGTGGACGTTTAGCACTACAGCCGACATTCCCGGAGCTACACAGCCAGAGTCACCGCCGGGTCCCAAGAGTGACACAGGGCCTTCCACCCTCTGCTTCATGGCTTTTTGTGCTTCCAGAAATGCCTTCAAGGGGACTTGCCACAATGAAGGCACCCAAGACCAGCATGCCCCATGGCACAACAGGTCCCCAGAGAGAACTTGGTGCCCCTGGGGTAGCAGCTACAGGTGATTATTTTTGTTCTTTCCGTTTATCTCCATTCTCAGAATTTTCTACATGCTATGAACTTTTTTTCTGAGACAGAGCCTCAAGCTATCGCCCTGGGTAGAGTGCTGTGGTGTCACAGCTCACAGCAACCTTCAACTCCTGGGCTTAAGCGAGTCTCCTGCCTTTACTTCCCAAGTAGCTGGGATTATAGGCACCCACCACAATGCCTGGCTATTTTTTGGTTGCAGCCGTCATTGTTGTTTGGCAGGCCCAGGCTGGATTCGACCCCACCAGCTCAGGTGTATGTGGCTGGCACCTTAGCCGCTTGAGCCACAGGCGCTGAGCCTATGAACCTTTTTAAAATTTGGGGTTTTTTGAGACAGAGTCTTGCTCTCTAACACAGGCTGGAGCGCTGGGGTGTCAGCCTAGCTCACAGCAACTTCAAACTTCTAGGCTCAAGTGATCCTCCTGCCTCAGCCTCCCAAGTACTGGGACTATAGGTGACCACCATAACATCCACGTAATTTTTCCTTTTTTTGATAGAAACGAGGTCTCACTCTTGCTCAGGTTGGTCTCAAACTCCTGAGCTCAAGTGATCCTCTTGCCTTGCCCTCCCAGAGTGCTGGGATTACACGAGTGAGCCATTGTGCCTGGCCTTTAATTTTTAGGTTTAAGTTTTTTTGGAAACAGGCTTTGGCTCTGTTGCCCAGGTTGGAGTGCAATGGCACAATTCCGGCCCACTGAAGCCTTAGCCACCTAAGTAGCTGGGACTAGAGGTGTGCACCACTGCATCCTACCTGAAACTTTGTTTTAATCAGAAACAAAAATAAACTCTTAAGAAGCCTTATCCCGTTGACAAGGGATGAGGGACATAGCATCAGAAAGCACTTTTATCTCCTCTGGTCTCACAGCAGTTGAGCCAACACTAGACCACACTGACTGCTCCTTCTATACCCTGAGCGACTCTGCTCCCCTCAGTCCAGAGGGTGACTGGCCTGCCCCCCAACAGGGCAGGATTATTCCCTGGTCAGGAACGCCAGGCTTACATGTCCACCCCTGCCCTATGCCCTGGGCAGCAAGGCCAGAGTAACCTCCTCTGGCTTCTGGCTGGGGGACACCTTCTGGAGGTAGGTCACCTTGGGGAGCCTGGCCAGGGAGCACGCGTGGCCTAGGAACATCCCCACTTGTGGGGCAGAGGGGCCACCACATATACGGCAGGAGGAGACGCAGGCACCCCTTCCCATGCGAGCACTCTTCATATTCCCAGAGACCCTGTGTGGTGGGGAGTTTGGTGATAGGCAGTTCTGATCCTTGCACAGCCACTGCACTCTCCTGGGAGGCTCAGTCTAGAGCAGTGGTTCTCAGCCTTCCTAATGCTGCAACCCTTTAATACAGTTCCTCATGTTGTGGTGACCCCCAACCATAAAATTATTTTCTTTGCTACTTCATAACTGTAACTCTGCTACTGTTATGAATCATATTATAAATATCTGATATGCAGGATGTATTTAGGTGACCCCTGTAAAGGGTTGTTCGACCCCAAAGGGGTCGTGACCCACAGGTTGAGAACTGCTGCTCTAGAGGCTCCTGGGCAGAGGCAGAGAAGCAGGGGCGAGGCCTGACACTGTGCAAAGAGCCCAAGGAGGAACCTAGCACATGCCTGGACAGGCTACATGTAGTACAGCCGCCATACTGGCTCTGACCACACTCCAGGTCAAAAACACCCTGCTTGGAGAAGGGGTTACAGGTGGCAGGTGGGGCTCCCTCTCACCCGACACCTCCTTGGAAGTCCCCCCCACCAGTGAGCCACGGACTGGCACCTCCTCCCAGGAAAGGGCAAGTGATGGACACTGGCTCCTGGAGGGCCCCAGGGTGCAGGCGGCGGGCTTACCTCCTCCGTGGGTCTGGCACAGGTATGGGAACCTCCAGATGTTCCCTAGCCCCACAGCAAACCCGACACAGCTCAGAAGGTACTGGAACTTGTTGTCCCATTTGGGCCTCTCAGCCTCAAGATGGTCCCCCTGCCAGTCTGGTCCTAGGGTGTGGGCCATGCTGCCTGAGTCACAGGGTTGTGAGGTTTGGGGTGTAGAGTGGGACCACCCTCCTCACCCAGACCCAAACGGCCTCTCAGATCTCTGCTAGAATTTGGAAGTCACGACCAGTCTCCTCTTCTGTTGTATGTTTTCATTTATTTAAAGGAAAACCAGCTGGTCCCAGTTAATTGGTAACTCAGGACCAGGCCCTGTTCTAACCCCAGCAGCTCCTCCCTGCTGCCCGCATCCTCTGCTCCTTCTCCCATGTTTGAATCTGATGCTCGCAGCCAACCTGGCACGGCTCAACAATGTGAGAAATTTCAATGACAGCCTCGTGTTCCTTGTTGGGGGCACCTGGGGCCCCTGAGAATGGAGCATATTAAGTTGTTTTAAACAATTACTTATTTTTTTTTTTTTTT